GAGAGAGAGAGAGAGAGAGAGAGAGAGAGAGAGAGAGAGAGAGAGAGAGGTATGCAGGTTGAGAGATTTTCGTGATTCATCCATTCTTTCATTTTTGAAGACGCTGACGTAGGAAGCAGCCATCCAATGTTGACGCTGCCTTGGGCCAAAATCATGCCCAAAAAATTTCCAGGCCCAAGCAGAACACTCGCATTCGCAAAATCCAAATGACCGGCACCGACAGTTCAGGTGTGGTGTACCAGTGTGCCATTCAGTCGCACGGACTGGGTACTCAGTACATAGTTCATTTTCCTTACGTGGGAGTGTTGTGCGATTTTCTACCGTCATTTAGCACAGCAATCAGATTTCCCTTCCATGGGAGTGTTTTTTTTTTTTTTTTTTTTTTTTTTAAAAAACACTCAAAGCCCCTGCTATTCTGGGGGGCGGCAGTCCGGTTGCTTATCACCGGCAAGCACGAGTACAGAAAAAAAAAAAAAGAGATATATTATAGCAATAGTGTTTTTTTAACTTTTTTACACTCTTTTTTTTTCTTCCCTCCAGACATCTTCACAAGTGGCTGCTGATTGCTCGAAGGGCCGAAAGGGAGAAACATCATCAGTGGCAATTGCTTTCCAAGGTGCTTGTTTACACCTATTCTTTTTCTCTAATTTAGAGAATTTATTGATTTCTACGTGTCATTCTTGCGCACACGGGCCATAACAGCATCTTACCAGGCAATTGATTTCCAGTGCTGGACTGGCGGCGGCTGCTTTTATCACTTCCACGCGAGCCATTCACGTTTACCCCCCCGCTCGCTGCAGCATTCGCTGGCGCTGTGCCAGTTCTGCGCCCTTTTCCAGCGCCCCTGTCGCTCCCTCCACTTGCGCGCGCTCCGTCGCTGTCGCTACCACTGCTATAGCTGTTTGCACCCGACCTTGACGGTCGAGACCTTGCGCGAGCATTCGCATTCCTCGAGGAAGACGCCTCCCGGAGCGCTGACAAGGACAGGTCCGGCGGCGCCACATCATTAAGAATGTACTCTGCTGCCTGATGAACATTGTTGCCATACTTCGATACTGCGCATTTCAAAACGTCCGACTCAACCTGGATTGGGATACCAATGTAGGGAGACAGGGAGCAAAAGGTTCGAAGAGAGCCATGCCAGCAAGGAAAACAATGCAAGATTGAAGAGAGAAGCCTCGTCAGCAAGCAAACAAAAGGATCGAAGAGAGCCACGTCGGTATCCCAATGAATATTAAATAGAGACATGGGAACGACAAAGGTTGAAGAAAGGCGCACCAGCAAGGAAGCAAAAAAGGATTGCAGAGATCCACACTTCCGCTGGCCGGCACTTTTTCGGTTGAACTTGGTTTGGGATTACTACCATCTGATTCATAGCTTCGTCACGGATTCGCAAAGAGGAATCTTTTTTTTTTTTTTTTGAGTTCTTGTTTAATCAACGTTAAACCTCCACTACCTTTCACAGGCAAACGCGAAGTCCATGTAGTAGCCTACTCGTCAGAGTCTGACGCATCAAGGGCACGGCAGCCTTCTTCGAAAACAAATAAACAAAAAGAAAAAGAAGGAAAAAAACTAAAGTGTTTCACTTCCACCTACGTTGTGGAATGCCCTCACGGAGTTTTCCCTCACGCGAGTGCTTTGAGGAATGTATCTGGCCACCATGTGTGGAACGGAGGTGCTGATTTTTTTTTTTTTCTCTCACTTTCTTTGCAAGTCTTTCTGGTGCCCTGCCAGTGAGGCAGGGCGTTTTCCACGAGGGGATCTAACTGCCCTAGTTTCCTCCTACTCACACGGATACTGTAGCATCCTGTATCGGACCGGAATCACAGCATAAGGGATGCTTTTTTTTCTTTTTCTTTTTTGCTTGCTGTTGAGCAGACAGACTCCCTCAGTGAGGGCACGGTCACATTGACCCTAGTAGAATGCATCTGATGGTTATCACGGCTTTAGGGAAGTTTTTTTTTCCTCTTCTTTTTTTTCGTTTTTCTGTTCTTTCACGGACGCCACTGCCCAGTGAAATTCAGGATCGGCAAAAACAGGATCGGAGGTAGTGGTGGTTTACTGGCAAGCCAAACAAAGGGATGACCGTCAACCAGCTGTTTTTCTTTTTTTAATGATTGTTTATTATGTACAAAAGCTGTCTTCTCGACCGGCGGGGGGTTCTTGCAACAGACAGGGCCGTGGTCCCATTAGCAAGAGAGCATCGGATTGAATGCCTGAATCTGGACGTGTTCGAGGACTGCTTTTCTGTATCTTTGCATCCAACATGGCCAGATTCAGGATTTCTTTCCGATCCTCTTTGCTAGTGGGACCACCCCCCAGGAGAAACAAAAAGAAAGAAAGAAAGCAAAGAGCAAAAAGAAAGAAAAGACGCAAGGAATTGAAACATGAGCAGTGGTAGGCCATGAAAGGGAAAATAGATGTTCCATGTACTTGGCCCAGCTATCGGCCGCGGAAAAAAATAGAGTAGAAACGTTTCTAGTCGGATGAATTTGGGCGCTCCTGTAGTAGCCCTGTCTCTTATACACATCTAGATGTGTATAAGAGACAGTAGGTGTGAAGTGTGGAAGGTACTGCGAGCACTCTGCTCTGCCCCGATTCGAAAGTCCAGCAATCTGAATGGGTCATAGGTTCCCAGCGTATGCTCTCTGGGTTCAATCGAGTACGGAGTGCACTTCGGGTGCTGTTGCCACTTCATGGCCTGGTTTCCTCACTTTATACTAGACTAGAAGGGGAGGGGAGGGGAGGGGAGGGGAGGGGAGGGAAAGGAGGTTAGTGGGGAAGGGGGTTTGAACCAGCTATGATTCTCGCAATAGACAGAAAAAGAAAGGACGAATGGAAGAACGGAAGAAAGAATGATAAGATGCACCGGGACTGGAGTGTTGATGGACGAACAGCATACTCACATGAGGAGGATTTTCTTTGACTGAATCTGGCCTCAATTTCGTTCACATTCATTTGAGGAAGTCCCAGTGTGGTCAGTATGGCCTTACATTGCACCCTATACTGTAGAACTGACAGTTCCCCTCCAGAGTATCATTCCCCTTTTACCTACCTTAGCTAGTCGTGAGCTTTTTGCCCAACGGCCGCCATCTGGCGGCGTCTCTTGTCGCGGCTTGCCATAAATTAAAAAAAAAACTCGATAAAAAGATTCCTCGCTGCGAATCTGTGGCTGAGTCAGAGCTGCGGGCGGAGCCTCTTCCACACTAGTCGGAATCTCCGGGACCACCAAATTAGTCCCATCCGTTGCCACGAACCTCGCTCGCAAAAGGAGGACGGTAGCGGGAACTTGCGGTACAGCCTGTGTGAGCGTGTGAGCAGACCCTTCAAGCCGCATCTAGGCAACGCTATGCACAGGGAGACCGAACCCACGAATATAATGTGTGGTCTTTGTAGCTGTATTCGGGGCAACTTTCAGTCTAGCTACAGTCAAAATAACAGGATGTCCTTATGGTGGTTATATAGCTGTATTCGGGCCAACTTGCAGTCCAGATACAGCGATAATAACAGAAACATCCTCTTCAGGTGAAGATGGTAGCCAAGCAGCAGACATAGAATCTTGTTCACTGCTCAACATTCTACACAAATCTCGACTGTTCTAAGGCCATAGCAGCACAAGAGGACGTTCCTGGATGTATCTGACCTCTTTTACGGCCATGTGTGGATGCATGTGACCATACTGTTGTCCACAGATAAGTTGAAAAAGAGCCTCACCACAGCACTCTGCAATGAAAATTGGAGAGCGTGGTGGCATGGCCACACAGCCTCAAGCGGAAAAAAAAACTCCGACCAAAAGAAAAGTTTCACGAGGTGTCACACAGAATCCCGATTTCGAGAGGTGTCACAATCCCCTCACTTCGTTATTTTATTTTTTTATTTTTAACAAAACAGAGTATCCAGTCATCAACAAGAAGAAGAACGGGGACCAAGTCCCACTAGCACCATCGAGTTCCCTCATCGCCTTAAAACACCACTACCCCGCCATCCTAAATTAGGGGGGACCCGTAGCGCAGGTTCATGAGGGCTTCCGGTAGCACAGTGGAGGGAACTGGCGGAATGGCAAAATTGGAAAATGCGTCGAATTGCCACCATGATTTATTTTGTGGAACCGGCATTCGGGACGGGCCAAACACCCGAACCCGAACGCCCGAGCATACGGGACCCCGTGGGGATGCGTTCGGCCGTTCGGGCTGAACTTGGACCGATAAAAAAAAAAAAAAAAAACAATCCAAAAAATCAGAAAAAAAAAATGTTACGAAGAAAACTACATCCAAATTCCTTGCCAACTGTGAAATAAAATAAAATACGTCCTGCCGCACAGGTGGTGGGGTATCACTGCTGGTTTATGAAGATATTGGTTTGGTTTCCATCTTTTTGTGACAGGATTTGGTTTCTGTAGTTATCTGAGTTCTTTTCCGCCGTTTGGGTAATAGTTGTCGTACATAGTTGCGACTCTTGTATAGCGTTTTGAATGCGATGGAATGAAAGAGAGAGTGCCGCCATGTAGAAACGCCATTCTGGTGGGCAGTGGGGTTTCCTTGTGAGAAGGTGCAGATTAGTGGAAGTGGTTTTCCCTAATTGCGAGGAGGCGGGTGGGTTTGCGGGGTCCTTGACCCCTGCGCGCGGGAGGTAGGGTATTACCGCTGAGACGTTGAATTTGGGTCAGATATTCATTTCATCTTAATAGGCTGCTATTTGCTGTCATCTGAATTCTTAAACCACCAGTACCTAGCGGTTGTTAAGGCACGTGGCTCAGCCTACCGGTATCCCGAACCTTGCCGAGCCTTGAGCTACCGGTAGGTACACATGAAAACAAAAACAAAAAACAAAAAAACAAAAAAAAAAGACAATTCTTCTGCCCAAAAACAAAAAGAAATTCAAAAACAAGGAAGCCCGAGAGAGAGAGAGAGAGAGAGAGAGAGAGAGAGAGAGAGAGAGAGAGAGAGAGAGAAAGAGAATCGGCGCCAAACTCGGCTCTCTCTCTCTCTCTCTCTCTCGGCGCCGTTCGAATCTGCAAGATGGGAATGAATTTTCCCGTGATGTCGGGAAAATTCATTTCACGGGAAAATTCATTCCCGTTTGGCACATCCAACCGCCCGGCCAGAGAGAGAGAGAGAGAGAGAGAGAGAGAGAGAGTCGGCGCCAATTTCGCCGGCTCTCTCTCTCTCTCTCTCTCTCTCTCTCTCTCTCTCTCTCTCTCTCTCTCTCGGCGCCGTTCGAATCTGCAAGACGGGAATGAATTTTCCCGTGATGTCGGGAAAATTCATTCCCGTTTGGCACATTCCCACCACGCGGCCAGAGAGAGAGAGAGAGATAGAGAGAGAGAGTCGGTGCCAATTTCGCCATCTCTCTCTCTCTCTCTCTCTCTCTCTCTCTCTCTCTCTCTCTCTCTCTCTCTCTCTCTCTCTCTCTCTCTCT